GTCTTGTTTTTTTATCCATTCTGATACCCTATGTCTTTTGGTTGGCGCATTTAATCCATTTACATTCAGTGTTATTACAGAAAGATATGGGTTTAGAGTCATTGTGATATCTGTATGTTTTATGCTTGTAGTGATGTCTCTGGTACTTTGTCTCACAGGGTCCCCCTTAGGATCTCTTGTAGGGCTGGTTTAGTGGTGACAAATTCCTTCAGTTTTTGTTTGTTTGGGAAGACCTTTATCTCTCCTTCTATTCTAAATGACAGGCTTGCTGGATAAAGGATTCTCGGCTGCATATTTTTTCTGTCTAGCACACTGAAAATCTCGTGCCAACTCCTTCTGGCCTGCCAAGTTTCAAAAGAGAGATCAGTCACGAGTCTTATAGGTCTCCCTTTATATGTGAGGGCACGTTTACCCCTTGCTGCTTTCAGAATTTTCTCTTTATCCTTGTATTTTGCCAGTTTCACTATGATATGTCGTGCAGAAGATCGATTCAAGTTACGTCTGAAGGGAGTTCTCTGTGCCTCTTGGATTTCAATGCCTTTTTCCTTCCCCAGTTCAGGGAAGTTCTCAGCTATTATTTCTTCAAGTACCCCTTCAGCACCTTTCCCTCTCTCTTCCTCCTCTGGGATACCAATGATGCGTATATTATTTCTTTTTAGTGTATCATTTAGTTCTCTAATTTTCCCCTCATACTCCTGGATTTTTTTATCTCTCTTTTTCTCAGCTTCCTCTTTTTCCATAACTTTATCTTCTAGTTCACCTATTCTCTCCTCTGCCTCTTCAATCCGAGCTGTCGTGGTTTCCATTTTGTTATGCATTTCATTTAAAGCGTTTTTCAGCTCCTCGTGACTGTTCCTTAGTCCCTTGATCTCTGTAGCAAGAGATTCTCTGCTGTCAGCTATACTGTTTTCAAGCCCAGCGATTAATTTTATGACTATTATTCTAAATTCACTTTCTGTTATATTATTTAAATCCTTTTTGATCAGCTCAAGAGTTACTTTTCTGAAAAGTATTTGCCTTTATTTTTATAAGACTTCTTTTCTGGGTGAAAAATTCTCGTGATAAGTTTTTTTTCCCCCTTTTGATACTTTAATGTCTCTTCATTCAGATAGTTTTTGATAAGTTCATAGGTTCAGATAGTTTTTGGTAAGTATGCTGTCATTTCAATCTTTGTTCCTTTATGCATAGTGAGTCTTTCTTCCTTCTAGCTGATTTTAGCGATTTTTATCAATGGGTATTTTACAATTTGATTTTGATATGCCGTGGTATTTCTTTCCTCATATTTCTTTTGGTTGGCATTCAATGAGCTTGGATCTGTGGGTTTATACAGTTTTTCATCAAATTAAATGAGATCATTGTTTTGTTTTATTTTCTTTTCACTGCCCTTCTTCTTGTACTGTAGTTACATACATATTAGAATATTGTTCCACAGATCACTGAGTTTTTAAAAAAATATATATATTATTTTTAAGTAATCTCTGTACCTAACGTGGGGCTTGAACTTACAGCCCCAAGATCAAGAGTCACATGCCCTACTTACTAAGCCAGTCAGGTACCCCCAGATCACTGATTTTAATTTTTTTTTTCTCCGTGTTCATTTTGGATAGTTTCTATGGCTCTGTCCTGAAATATGTTGGTCTTTTCTTTTGCAGTATCTAATATGATATTAATTCCATCCAGTTATTGTTATTATTGTTATTCCATCTAGTTACTATATTCGATCAGATATATTTTTCATCTCTAAAAGTTTGGTTTGGTTCTTTTTTTATATCTTCCATTTCTCTCCTCAGCATGCTCACATTTTCTCTCCCTTTTTGGAATATGAAGCATTTTAACATCTTTGTCCACTTGTTCTATTATCTCTGTTTTTAAGTCTTTTTCTATTTATTGACTGGTATTTCCTCTTATTAAAAGTTATAGTTTCCTGCTTTTTGCATATCTGATAATTTTTTATTGGATGCCAGGCATTATAAATTGTACATTTCTGGTCTTGGATTTTGTTTTCCTTTTAATAGTACTGGATTTTATTTTGATGTGCAATACAGTTACCTTGTATCAGTTGAAATGTTTAGAAGTTTGCTTTTAATTTCAGTTGAAATGTTTAGAAGTTGGCTTTTAATCTATGACTGGTATTACCCCACCTAGATAATAAACTTCTGAAAATTTTATCTGATGCCTCATCTATTATAAAGTCTTTCCACTCTGCCTGGTAGGAACACAAACTATTCCCAGCTTGGTATGCTTAGGAAGTTGTTCCAACTACTTGCTTCCTGGGGCTTTTCCTCAGCCACAGACTCAAAAGGACCCCTCTGCAGATTTCTAGAGCTCTCTTTTTGTGTAGCTCCCCCCTCTCCTGTACCCTGATCTACAAATTCTGGTTGTCTTGATTTTACTGAGCTTTTTTCTCTGTCTCCTCAACTTAGCAAGACTTGCTGGCTCAATGTGGAGTCCCTCCCCTCACAGCTCCCTTCTGCAGCCTGGTAACTCCCAGGTATAACTTGGGCAATAGTAATGCTCATCTTGCTTGTTACTCTCCTTTTGTGGATCATAGTCCTGTGCTGCTTTTTTTCCAGTGTGTGAAGATTGCCATTTCATTTATTTTGTCTGATTTTTTGGTTGTTTATGATATGAAGATGAATCTGGTCTGTGTTATTCCATCTTGGCTACTAGCACAATCTGTATTGTTGTTTGTAGAAATATATAGCTTTGATAAATTCTGCTGATTAAAGAATAGACTCTATATTACTTCAGTATTTTGAAAGTGTTAAGGTTTGTTTTAGAGCCTATATGGCTTTTGTCTCTGGGCTATCAATTATTGAAAAAATTGTTATGTTCAGAATATTATTATGAATTTATCTATTTCTCCTTATCATCCTTTAATGCTTTGCTTTCTAAACTTAGAGTTTATGTTATTAGAGTTATTAGAATTATGTTATTAGTTTTTAGGAAATTTAATATTGCTATTTTTTCCTGGTGGATTGAAACTTTTAAAATGTGAATGGCCATTTTTATGACTAGTGATGCTTTTTGCCTTAAAGCCTATTTTGTCTACTATTAATATAACTTTTTGTTTTCATAGCATATCTTTTTAAATTCTTTTTACTTTCAACCATGTGCTATATGTTTTAGATAATTCTTTTATATATGTATATATTTAATATGTCTCTCTCTGATATGCCACTTTTTACATTTTAATTGGAACAGTTAGCCCATTTATATTAAATGTAATTACTGATATATTAAATTTTAAGCTAGTGTTTTAATGTGCTTTCTTTATTCTACTTGTCTGTATTTCTTTTTTTCTCCTTTTTGACTTTATTTTTAAGTGCTAATTATCTTATTATAAAATTTTATATAAAATAAGAATTCATATAAATGCAAAGTATATCAATTCAAGTAAACTTATATAGTGCCAAACAAGGTATTAATATTTAAGATGAAAAGTAAAAAAGAAAAACCTTTCACCTTATATGTAATTATTCATGTTTTAGATGTTGTTGCTTGCTGGAATGTCACTTTTTTCTTAGATTTTAAAATGATGAGTTCTATTAAACTTAAGTATGCTATGAAATATTAAATTTTATTTATGAAATCACAAATGAAAAACAGGTTATAAAACTTAAGAATTTACAAATAAGCACAACTAATTACTGAAATGTCTATATTTAAAAACTCTAAAAATATAGGATATTAAATATGTCTGGAAATAACTAGACAAACACCAAGTTTCTTAAAACTCAGCTTTTAAGAGGGTATTACAGCATAAATAGAATGTGGAATAAATAGAAGTTTTCATGTATGAACAAGTTTTACGAATTACTTTTAAAAACAAAGAAGCTGCAATTCCTCAGACTGTTCTTATTCAATGCTACAACTTAAAAGGATTTTTTTAACACCCTCAAGGGAAAAAAACACCCTTAAATTTCTTTTAATGTTAAAATTACAAAGAATTTTATTTTTTTGAGTTTATAGAAATTTATATTCAAAAGCTTCTAGAGAAGAATCTCTAATATTACTGTATTTTTTTCATTGAAATGTAAATAATTACATCTGGGGATCACTATTAACTGTTAAAAGAAAGTTAACAGTGTCTGGAAAATTCCCCAAAGGGCTCAGGCTTTAGCCTTTACAAATAAGCTCTTAAAACCATTGTTCCGAAGAAAAATGTACACTGCTAGACTACTTTACTCAAAGTTCCTGTTCATTTAAAGTGAGATTTTTGTAGTCACTTAGTGATGAACCATTTTTATTTGGGTCACATGTTCTAAACATAGATAGATGCCAGGCAGGGAAGTAAATACCTGTTTACATCTAAATTATTTCCAACTAGTGAATTGGGGTTTTATTTATTTAACTTGTCAAAATTAACTTGGCAATGTATGGATTGTTTTTCTAAAATTGTCACCTCATGAAAACATCTGTCACTTCATAAAAATGACTTTAATTTGACTAATGTGCACTAAAACTATAATTAAACCCAAAATCTCACTTTGACAAGTAATCATCCTATTACAAAAGTGACTCACAAATTTGCTTTTTTTTCCTCCATTCCTGGTAAAAACTATAGAACATTAAAAAATATGTAATGCATAGCATGACTCTCTCAAAAAATTACTGTCTTAGAAGTGCACAATGAAAATATGTTAGAAATATCTCTTCTAGGAAAATAGCTATATGAAAAATAATTGTGTATGTTTTTTGTATTATTTCTTGTCAAAGACTTTTTTTTTTAATGTTTATTTATTTTTGAGACAGAGGGAGACAGAGCATGAATGGGGGAGGGTCAGAGAGAGAGAGGGAGACACAGAATCCGAAACAGGCTCCAGGCTCTGAGCTGTCAGCACAGAGCCCGACACAGGGCTCGAACTCACAGACTGCAAGATCATGACCTGAGCCGAAGTCAGACGCTCAACTGACTGAGCCACCCAGGCGCCCCTGTCAAAGACTTTTTTGTGCAATTCTACTACAATTTCAAATTCAACTTTCAATAATCTAGAAGATGAAAAGGATGAGCATTTTATCATTATCCAGTCATTTTTAGGCAGTGAAATTTTAAAGGCCATCTCACATACAGTGGAAACAGAGCTGAAACTGTAGAATATTGACATAAGACAAAAGACCGACATAACAAAGTTCAAGGAGATTTTGATGACAAAAGCAAGTAGTCATGTGATCAACATAAATTGGTGGTAAAAGATTAATTGAAATCTTTGGTTGTGATCACAAAGAAAAACCCAGAATAAATATTGCAGACTAGAAAGAATCTGAGGCTGTTCCTCACGAGTCGTTCTGCATAGGAAGCTGCTCCTTTGGGATGTCACAAGCCTGTTGTTAGATGCACAAATCAGTCTGAATTCTTAATTTCATTTGCTAACTATCTTTAACTTTCTTGATTCTCCTATGAGTGTGGCAAAGCAATTTGGTGAAGAATTCTGCCACCAGACTTTCTCTGTGTTGCTTCTTCATGTAACTCTTTGTCATTAAATCTTCCATCTCTTCCAAAAGAACTTAATTTCCTGCTGCTGCCAGCTCACATTTTCCATCTTTACTTTCTGAGGAATTAAAATCAGGAGGGGAATTGCCAGGGTCTCCTAAGGAGTCCCTATATCTGCTTTTCATTTTCAGGGTATAAGAAATGCCGATCTTGAATGTAATATGCTTACCATAATAAGTTTGTTGAAATGGTCCATGAATAAATTGGGACATTCTACATATCCTCATAGAACCTATGTATTTAAAAATGTAAAGAGAGTCTTTGAATGCTTGCTTTCCCCAGCAAATTTATTTGGTATCAATTCTGATAGCTGGAGACCATGGTGGCCTCAGATGCTTCGTAGAGAACCTTTGGCCAGGCAAGTTATCTATTTGTTCTGTGGACTCACAACTTTCATACATCTTGACTTGGAACTGATTTTCTTAATCATTACTTTGTTTTGCTCTTTTCCTATCTTTAGTGTTCATCTCAGAAATTAAAAATGTATCCTTGGCTTATCAATGTCTAATATTAATTGATAACTTTACTCTTCTCCTGGTTAGTACAAGGAGCTTAAAACATTTGACTACATTTTCATTATTCCCAATCTACAGATATATTTTTGATGAGTCAATATTTATTGAGATTTACTTACATGTTTGCGACTTTCTTTTCTCTTTATTCTTTTTGAAGATCCCCTTGATCTTCTCCAGTGATTATTTCCCTTTTTTCTGGAAAAATCCTTTGCAAATTCCTGTGGGTCTCCTAAAGGTAAATTCTTTCAATTGTTTATTCATCTGAAATGTCTTTATTTTTTTATGGTTACAAATTCTAGATTAGCAGTTTATTTCTGACTTCTGCTGCTACTGTTAAGAAGTCACCTGTCAGTCTTTTACTCCCTTGAAGGCAAGTTGCTCTATCTGCTTAAAAAATTTTTTTTTATTTTATTCAGTTTAACTATGATGTGTCTAGGTATGGATTTCCTTTTATTTATCCTGAGTGGTATTTATTGGAATTCTTACATCTGAAGATTGGTGTTTTCATCAGTTTGGGGAAATTGTAAGCCCGAATCTCCACAAATATTGCCAGTGTCCATTCTTTCTTCTTCGTCTAGATGCCAGAACTTAGAATTTCTCATAGAATTCTTGTATTTTTACATTCTGTTCCATGCTTTCTACCTTTTATGCTGCTTTCATGCTACATTCTCGAAAGTGTCTTCTCACCTATTTTCACTTCACTGTCTCTTCAACTCTTTAATATGTTGTTAAAATTCTCATTAAATTCTTAATTTTGTTTGTGAAAATTTTCAGTTCTAGAAAATTTGTTTCTTTTTCAAATCTGTAAAGTCACTGTTTGTAATTGACAGTTTCCTCCTGAAATTTTTAGAGCTTACTTTTCTTTTCCTTGAAAATGGTAAGCATAGTTTTTTTTTTAATTTAAATTTTAGTTAACGTACAGTGCAATATTGGGTTCAGGAGTAGAATTCAGTGATTCGTCACTTATATACAACACTCAGTGCTTATCACAAGTGTCCTCTTTAGTACCTATCACGCATCTAGCCCATCTCCCAACCTCTTCCCTCCATCAACGCTCAATTTGTTCTATATCATTACGAGTCTCTTGTGGTTTGTTTCTGTCTCTTTTTTTCCCCCTCTTCCCATATGTTCATCTGTTTTGTTTCTTAAATTCCACATGAGTGAAATCATATGGGATTTGTCTTTCTCTGATTGATTTCGCTTAGCACAATACATTCTAGCTCTATCCACGTCATTGCAAATGGTAAGATTACATCTTTTTGATGGCTGAGTGTTGTATCATTGTATATATATGAAAATGGTGAGCATAGTTTAACTGTGTCTGATACCTATCATTATTTTGATTATTATTTAAAAATTTTTTTTAAAAACATTTATTAATTTTTGAGAGACAGAGAGGAGCATGGGTGGGGGAGGGGCAAAGAGAGGTAGACAGAGATCCTGAAGCAGGCTCCAGGCTCTGAGCTGTCAGCACAGAACCCAACCTGGGGCTTGAACCCATGGACCGTGAGATCATGACCTGACATGGACCACGAGATCATGACCTGAGCTGAAGTCAGATGTTTAACCGACTGAGCCACCCAGGTGCCCCTATTCTGATTATTTTTTATCACTGCTGGTTCTCTTTCATGATCTTTTTTCTCTTCATGCTTTAATGAACTGCTGGACATTGTGTTTGAAACAGTGTTTGCTGGAATAATATGAGATTCAGGTTGACATTTTCTTCCTCTAAAGCAGGGTACTAACAATGTAGGCTTTACTTGCAAGCTCACAGCCTCAGATTTCATGGGATACTGAGATTTAAAAATGGAGTCTACCATCTAGACAAAGGCTGGTTTATTTTTGTTTTACCACTATTCTCAGGGTATAGCCATTTAGGGTCCCAAGTCCCCGTGTTGGGTGGGCCTGGAACTCTGACCACCTCCCTGTGACTAAGAGACTAATGAAAGCTACCTCCTTTAGACTAGCAACTGCTCAGAGAGAAAACCTTTCCCAAGTGTTGGAGTTTTGTTCTGTAATTCTTTATCATCTTGATATAGCTTTGATATTTTAAAGAAAAAGTTTAATAATATCTTTAGTCAAGATTATATATATATATATTTTTTCTGAATGTGGTTGGCTTTAGTTAGTCTTTCATTACCCAAAACAAAAATTTTATGCATCCATTCTATTTTCTTGGTATCCATTTCTCTCCTTCCTTCTCTCTTTTTCTTTCTCTTTTGAAATATTTATAGAGTACTTTTTTTCAAAAGAGTATATGGAAGATAAACCTTCAGAATTGTTGTATGCCATTCTTTTGCTTTCATATTTGATTAGTAGTTTGATTACATACTAATCATGAATTGTTTTGAAGTCATTTTATATTAGACTTTTGAAGGCATGATTTCACTATTTTCAGCACTTATCACTGATGAGAAAACTAGCACCATTATGGTTTTTGTTTGTATATATGTACAGGAGGTCTCCTGTTTCCTAGGAAAATCAGCACCAGAAATGTCCATGTAATGCAAATCTATTTACATTGGATTGTTTGGAGGTACTGTTTTCTGATAAAAATAAATGGTAGCATGATATGGCATTTCCCAAGTTTTATTTCACTTTCCAGATTAATCATGAAGATAGTAATATCTGCAGAAATATTTTAAGACTTTCCTCCAGGAACCTATCTTTGATTCTTTGATTTACTTTAAAATGATTCTCCTTGGAAAATCCTTTCCTGTTATTTTCCTGGTTGATTTTCTCCTCATCCATTATTAACTGATCTGACCCTACTAATCCTCATTTAGCAATAGCTTTGTTAATGATTCAAGAAGCAACCCAAAACTTTCATCAACTTGATGAAATCTAACATTTTTTTGGGATTTTGCATTTACTTTAAAATCAATTATGCTATATATGAATTATCATACATTTATTAAAATATTTATTTTATCATATATTTATTAAAAATGCAATAAAAGACTGGCCAAAATGGACTGTAATGTGATTGATGAGGACAGATGTCAGAGTGACAGGGGGATAGGTGGGTATTTGAGTCAGGACTAATTTTATAAATGGCCAGTCCATTAATGATATTTTTGAGGCATGACTGTGCTTCCCTATGAGATCTCATGGCTATAAGAATGCAGGGAGTGAACCTATCAGACATCAAGGACCTTACGTAAATTGTTTCCATAGCCCTTTCCTGGAAGCTTCTAGGATAGTCTCTTTATCTTTGGTGTTTTACAAACTTTTATATGTATATTTCTATTTCTAGGTATTTGTCTTTTCCATTCATTGTGCTCAGCATCTACTTTCAGTGTGAAACCAGGTGTCTTCAATGCTGGGATGTTTGCCTCTGCTTTTATTTTATCTGGCAATATGATCCACTAATTGCCATCTTCTAGAAATTTTAATAAATCTCTGGTCTGCAGATGACTCTCTTCTCTTTTTGGTGCTCTTATGAGTTTACTATCTTTTGTATCTCTTTACTGTAATTTTTACAGGAATTTTGTTAATAGTCTACCATATAGAACAGAAGCTTCAGTATCATTTAAATTAGATGCAGAGCACTTTATTCAATGGAAATAGCTACATCAATCTATTTTCATCTATCCACCTATACCAACTCACTATTAATATATATTAGGCTGTTGATGATTTTTTTTAATTAATTTATTTTTTAATTAACATCCAAGTTAGTTAGCATTTAGTGCAACAATGATTTCAGGAGTAGATTCCTTAATGGCCCTTACCCATTTAGCCCATCCGTCTTCCTACAACCCCTCCAGCAATCCTTTGTTCTGTATATTTAAGAATCTTTTATGTTTTGTCCCCCTCCTTGTTTTTATATTATTTTTGCTTCCTTTCCCTTATGTTCATCTGTTTTGTATCTTAATTCATAAGTCATATGATACTGTCTTTCTCTGACTAATTTTGCTTAGCATAATAGCCTCTAGTTCCACCCACATAGTTGCAAATGGCAAAATTTCATTCTTTTTGATTGCCAAGTAACACTCCAATGTATATATATACACCACATCTTCTTTATCCATTCATCCATCGATGGACATTTAGGCTCTTTCCACACTTTGGCTGTTGTCAATAGTGCTGCTATAAACATTGGGATGCATGTGCCCCTTCGAAGCAGCACACCTGTATCACTTGGATAAATACCTAGTGGTGCCTTTGCTGGGTCATAGGGTAGTTCTATTTTTAATATTTTGAGGAACTTTCATACTGTTTTCCAGAGTGGCTGCACCAGTTTGCATTCCCAAAGATATTTTTTAAATGCTGTCCATAATTTTTGATATTTCTGATTTAAAAAATCTCCCTTTTCTCTGGATGCACATAGAAATTACCACAAATAAAATACTATTTTATCTTGAATAAATTTGTGTTCTATATCAGATAAATAGTTCATTCTTTTTGAATGTGGCAATTTGAGGACCAATTAAGAGAAAATGGCTGTTTCGAGGGCCACATAATGAGAAAATTCAGTGTAAAGGCTTTTGACAGCCAGTCTGAAGAAATATGAAAATTCAGAGATAGGCCTCCACATTCCAGCACAATGCAAAGTAGACCCAGCAAAGAGAATATGGCAACTGCTGATACTAAGAAACCCACACACTAAAAGCAACCAAATTTTCCCAGCATTAGGATTAGGCAGTCATCCACTCAGTGTTAGGGCTTCAACGTATGAATTTTGGTGTGTGGGGGGAAACAGACTTTTAATTCACAACATTAAGAAAGATTACATTGATCCAGACCTATGGAGTCTCCATCTGTGGACTCACAAATACCAGGTCTCAGATGAGGACTCAATGGAGAAAAAAAGGACCTTGAGCTAAAGATTTTCTTTCCAGAACCTCTCAACTGTATCTTCCATGAAGACTTTTCCATTTTTGGATGGTAAAATACTTAAATTTTGAGATTTCACTGGCCAGTATTTTTTTAAGTTTATTTATTTAGTTTGAGAGAGAGAGAGAAAAGCTCGTGTGCAAGCAGGGTAGGGGCAGAGAGAGGGGGAGAGAGAAAATCTCAAGCAGGTTCCTCTCTTCGAGTGCAGAATGAGTGCATGTGGGACTCTATCTCACAACTGTGAAATCATGACCTGAGCTGATATCGAGTCAGATGCTTGATCTCGGGCTCTTTGCTGACAGCTCAGAGCCTGGAACCTGCTTCAGATTCTGTGTCTCCTTCTCTCTCACTGCCTCTCATGCTCTCTCGTTCTCTCTGTCTCTCTCTGTCTCTCTCTCTCTCTCTCTGTCAAAATAAATAAACATCAAAAAAAAATTTTAAGAAAAGGGGTGCCTGGGTGGCTCAGTTGGTTAAGTGTCCGACTTTGGCTCAGGTCATGATCTCACAGTTGTGAGCCCATGTTGGGCTCTGGCTGACAGCTCAGAGCCTGGAGCCTGCTTCAGATCTGTGTCTCCCCCTCTCTCTGCCTCTCATGTTCTGTCTCTCTCTCTCTCTCAAAACAAATAAACATTAAAAAAAATTTTTTTTCTAAAAGAGTCAGATGCTTAACCGACTAAGCCACTCAGGTGTCCCATTGCCAAGTATTTTCATGTAACTTTGGACATCATCAAAAGTTTGTTTTTTTT